TAATGATGGAGTCTAGATCAGTGTAATGATGGAGTCTAGATCAGTGTGATGATGGAGTCTAGATCAGTGTAACGATGGAGTCTAGATCAGTGTAACGATGGAGTCTAGATCAGTGTAATGATGGAGTCTAGATCAGTGTGATGATGGAGTCTAGATCAGTGTAATGATGGAGTCTAGATCAGTGTAATGATGGAGTCTAGATCAGTGTAATGATGGAGTCTAGATCAGTGTGATGATGGAGTGGAGTCTAGATCAGTGTAATGATGGAGTCTAGATCAGTGTAATGATGGAGTCTAGATCAGTGTAATGATGGAGTCTAGATCAGTGTGATGATGGAGTCTAGATCAGTGTAATGATGGAGTCTAGATCAGTGTAATGATGGAGTCTAGATCGGTGTAACGATGGAGTCTAGATCAGTGTGATGATGGAGTCTAGATCAGTGTGATGATGGAGTCTAGATAAGTGTGATGATGGAGTCTAGATCAGTGTGATGATGGAGTCTAGATCGGTGTAACGATGGAGTCTAGATCAGTGTGATGATGGAGTCTAGATCAGTGTGATGATGGAGTCTAGATAAGTGTAATGATGGAGTCTAGATCAGTGTAACGATGGAGTCTAGATCAGTGTGATGATGGAGTCTAGATTAGTGTAATGATGGAGTCTAGATCAGTGTGATGATGGAGTCTAGATCAGTGTAATGATGGAGTCTAGATCGGTGTAACGATGGAGTCTAGATCAGTGTGATGATGGAGTCTAGATCAGTGTAATGATGGAGTCTAGATCAGTGTGATGATGGAGTCTAGATAAGTGTAATGATGGAGTCTAGATCAGTGTAACGATGGAGTCTAGATCAGTGTGATGATGGAGTCTAGATAAGTGTAATGATGGAGTCTAGATAAGTGTAATGATGGAGTCTAGATCAGTGTAACGATGGAGTCTAGATCAGTGTGATGATGGAGTCTAGATCAGTGTAATGATGGAGTCTAGATCAGTGTAATGATGGAGTCTAGATCAGTGTGATGATGGAGTCTAGATCAGTGTATTGATGGAGTCTAGATCAGTGTAATGATGGAGTCTAGATCAGTGTAATGATGGAGTCTAGATCAGTGTGATGATGGAGTCTAGATCAGTGTCATGATGGAGTCTAGATCAGTGTAATGATGGAGTCTAGATCAGTGTAATGATGGAGTCTAGATCAGTGTAATGATGGAGTCTAGATCAGTGTAACGATGGAGTCTAGATCAGTGTAATGATGGAGTCTAGATCAGTGTGATGATGGAGTCTAGATCAGTGTAATGATGGAGTCTAGATCAGTGTAATGATGGAGTCTAGATCAGTGTAATGATGGAGTCTAGATCAGTGTAATAATAAAGTCTAGATCAGTGTAATGATGGAGTCTAGATCAGTGTAACGATGGAGTCTAGATCAGTGTAACGATGGAGTCTAGATCAGTGTAATGATGGAGTCTAGATCAGTGTGATGATGGAGTCTAGATCAGTGTAATTATGGAGTCTAGATCAGTGTGATGATGGAGTCTAGATCAGTGTAACGATGGAGTCTAGATCAGTGTAACGATGGAGTCTAGATCAGTGTAATGATGGAGTCTAGATCAGTGTAATGATGGAGTCTAGATCAGTGTAATGATGGAGTCTAGATCAGTGTGATGATGGAGTCTAGATCAGTGTAATGATGGAGTCTAGATCAGTGTAATGATGGAGTCTAGATCAGTGTAATGATGGAGTCTAGATAAGTGTAATGATGGAGTCTAGATCAGTGTAATGATAAAGTCTAGATCAGTGTAATGATGGAGTCTAGATCAGTGTAACGATGGAGTCTAGATCAGTGTAACGATGGAGTCTAGATCAGTGTAATGATGGAGTCTAGATCAGTGTGATGATGGAGTCTAGATCAGTGTAATGATGGAGTCTAGATCAGTGTAACGATGGAGTCTAGATCAGTGTGATGATGGAGATGATGGAGTCTAGATCAGTGTGATGATGGAGTCTAGATCAGTGTGATGATGGAGTCTAGATCAGTGTGATGATGGAGTCTAGATCAGTGTGATGATGGAGTCTAGATCAGTGTAATGATGGAGTCTAGATCAGTGTGATGATGGAGTCTAGATCAGTGTGATGATGGAGTCTAGATCAGTGTGATGATGGAGTCTAGATCAGTGTGATGATGGAGTCTAGATCAGTGTAATGATGGAGTCTAGATCAGTGTAATGATGGAGTCTAGATCAGTGTAATGATGGAGTCTAGATCAGTGTAATGATGGAGTCTAGATCAGTGTAACGATGGAGTCTAGATCAGTGTAACGATGGAGTCTAGATTAGCGTAATGATGGAGTCTAGATCAGCGTAATGATGGAGTCTAGATCAGTGTAATGATGGAGTCTAGATCAGTGTGATGATGGAGTCTAGATCAGTGTAATGATGGAGTCTAGATCAGTGTAATGATGGAGTCTAGATCAGTGTAATGATGGAGTCTAGATCAGTGTGATGATGGAGTCTAGATCAGTGTAATGATGGAGTCTAGATCAGTGTGATGATGGAGTCTAGATCAGTGTCATGATGGAGTCTAGATCAGTGTGATGATGGAGTCTAGATCAGTGTGATGATGGAGTCTAGATCAGTGTGATGATGGAGTCTAGATCAGTGTGATGATGGAGTCTAGATCAGTGTAATGATGGAGTCTAGATCAGTGTAATGATGGAGTCTAGATCAGTGTGATGATGGAGTCTAGATCAGTGTGATGATGGAGTCTAGATCAGTGTAATGATGGAGTCTAGATCAGTGTGATGATGGAGTCTAGATCAGTGTCATGATGGAGTCTAGATCAGTGTGATGATGGAGTCTAGATCAGTGTAATGATGGAGTCTAGATCAGTGTAATGATGGAGTCTAGATCAGTGTGATGATGGAGTCTAGATCAGTGTTAGTATGGAGTCTAGATCAGTGTAATGATGGAGTCTAGATCAGTGTGATGATGGAGTCTAGATCAGTGTAATGATGGAGTCTAGATCAGTGTAATGATGGAGTCTAGATCAGTGTAATGATGGAGTCTAGATCAGTGTGATGATGGAGTCTAGATCAGTGTAACGATGGAGTCTAGATCAGTGTAATTAAAATGGCGGGACATAATTGCGCCATTTTACCGTTTCTATAGATTACAGCGAGCAGCGTGTCTAAACAACGCAGCGGTTTACATCACAAGCACTCAGGGTTGTTTATGATAATGATCTTTTAGAGCTATATCTATAATATTTGTATTTAGAGCTAAAAGTGCTTCATTCAAGGCCGTGTGTTTCTCCTCTCTCTCTCGCTAACAGCAGACGACGCGTTACTCTAACAACAGTAGCAGAAACACGGTGAGCAAAATACATACTTTGACTTAAACACTGCAGAAAATCAGAATGCAGCTAATAGGTTTTTCATACATTTAGCATTATTAATCAGCATGAAGAGCATTTCATAATAAACACTGCTAGAATTTGGAAAATTATTTAGAGATGGCAAGGCAAGACCAAAAAACCTTTACATTTCTAGTAAACTTTGTTTTGTCCTCATTATGAGAGTTCTAAACATTAGATTATGTACACTGTTTGTTTTAGTAGTTTATTACTTTGAGCAAAATATAAAAATGGCCCATACTTTCCTTAAGAGGTAAACCTGCAGCTCAGTGTGTTTCTGTCCCAAGGCTTTTATGTGCCATACACAAAGATGTCTAAATGTAAAATAAAAATAAATAGCCAGTTACAACATCTGATTTAACCTTTTTATATTCATATCCAGTTGGGAGAAATAGTTACTTTTTTAGGTAATGTTTTGACAGAAACTCTTAGACGTCACTGTTTGGGCCCAGGATTCTCATCTTTCATGACTATTTTGATTGTTTAGGGGTATTTCTTTCTTTTACAAAGTAATACGTCTGCCCCGATGGAAATGTATAACTATTCCGAAAAAGTATTGTAGTACAGTAGCTGGGAAGGAGATCCGGAGCCCTTGGACCTTTAATTGAAAACCCCTGGTCCAGATGGACCTCGCGACGGAGTCCAACGCTTGCCCTTCTCCTGGTTTTGACAAAGGCAGGGCCGGAAAGCCACTGGGGTCTGGCATTTAACCACTGACAAAAACGGTTAACATTTAATTGTGAAATGTCACAGTAGTCCTACATGTATGAGAATGCCGTTGCCACGGTTAGAGCCGTCGTGTGATGACGCTGAGCTAATGCAGTGTGTGTCCGCTTCAACAGAGAGCTCTTTATCTCTAACTGGAGGAGTTTGAGGCACGGAAACCTTCGGCTCTTGATGCAACAATAAATAAACGTTGCGTATTTGCTTTTAAAGAGCTGTGCACGCACTGACAAATACACACTGACAGAGTGACTATACGACTTCTCTCTGGGGATAAGATGGAAAAGCACTGGATCATTTAGCAATATCACAGACACTCCAGTAATTTCATGGACACTGACCCAGACACGTTCGCTCCATACTAAACAGCATGCCAGAGACCTGGAGCATTTCAAATGTATTTTATTAGGTTTTTCTTCTCATAAATGAACCTCACAAGAAAAACAACACAAAGAAAACATGTACAAAGACAGAAAAACACCCGTTGGCTCGCACATACCAGGTTCGGGATGCCGGCAGGAGATCTTCTTTTGCGAGGAGCATCATCACGTCGCCCGCAGAGATAAGCACAGATTTTTCTGATGTCTTCTTTAATTAATAAGAAGTAACATCATTCAAAACTGTCTTTATCCCTGCGCTAGCATGTGTGCTCCTCTGTGGCGAAGGCACTGGAGGAACAGGGAATCCAGAGGAACAAAGACACTACAGGGATGCAGGAGAAGCAGGAGAAGAATGCAAGAAAGCATCTAATCAACCATCGTCCACAGAGCTACATGACTTACACACACACACACACACATCCAGCACGAACACAGACAGAGGCCGAGGGAAGAAACACACTCAACCACACACAAGCAGCGTTCCTACCATGGTGACTCTGAGAGCGAACCGGCCATTGCTTCTCCCCTGGAAGACACAACCAGGCAGAGGAACAGTGAGTGAAGCGTGATCACAGCTGCCGATCAGCACACAATACAGAGATGAGATTCTGTCCGAGTTCGAGTTCGAATGCATTAGGACAGGGTGAATCATCACGAGAGAATCGCTGAAAGAAACGTGTCACCCGGATGAATGCCTTTCCAAACGCGCTGCAATTATTGCTGTGAACATGAATAACACTGAATAACTTTGGGGGAAACAAAAGTAAGAAATAACTGTGCATTCGTAACAAACATCATTCGCTTTGGACACACATTTTTACCCGAAATCAACAAATACAAAGCAGGTCGTTTATGAGTGAAATGTTTTTATTGTTCTCCGTCTCTTTGTTCGGTTTTCATTTGTGAGAGCCCTGTAATCGGCAGCATCGTCGCTGACTTCAGTGTTCACTGTGAGACGCATCAAATCTGAGGCGGAGAAATTCAATTTCTGCCTTTCTGTTATCCGCATCCGGCCATACAACAGAACTGATTATATATTAAATCCAAGACCTTGTGAGTTCTTTCACAGCTTTGAGCTTCACCGTCACTGTCGAGGGACAGGGAGAGAGAAGCTCCTCGACAGGAAGGACATGAAGAGATGCAAACCGTAATGTGCCGCTTTCATCCATATTGATCACATATCAGCTTTCCAACATCATCCTCTGCTCACTTTCACTGGCCTCTGCATTGGCCGTCATATGAGGCTCATTCTGGAATAATGCAAGAGAATCCCTTTCTTCATTGTGTTTTCTTGTCATGTAGACGAGTTAGATGCTCTGTTAGGTGTAAAAGTACAGTCTGTCACTGACAGAACCACTAAGCCATGGAAGCACAAATGGCTAACAGTTAGTTAACAATTAGAACTGGGAAGTTGCAAACCAGATTTGTTGAGCACAGAACACTAAGCCACAATCCCAAACTTATTTTGATCATAAGAATGGACACTCGGCCGTACTTCTGCATTGCACATTTGGTGTGTAACAGGTCCTGGCGACAGAGTCGCGCCCCTGAGAGTTCTCCATCGGTGGCGGACTGTAACTGATCATTAGGGGACTCGAGTCTATAAGGGTTTGGGTTACTTTCAGGAGTGGCTCATGCAACTCATTGATTTTCTTTCTTATACATTTCTTTTATCATATAGCTTTAATTTAGTTAGTTATTGTGTTTATTTTTTCTTTGTTATTTTGTTTTCCCTAGACTTATGTTTGTTATTTGTTGTTATTGTTATATTTGTTAAAGAGAATAAAATAATTTGTATTCATTGAACGTTGGTTTTTGATCCCTCTTTTATCTTAAAACGAGCCGGCCGTAACATAAAATCGGGGGCTCGTCCGGGATATCCAACCAGCCAATCTGGGAACTCACGCCTTAAACCGCAGGTCATCTGAGGTCAACATGATGATGTCATCATCAATGGCCAGAAAAGTCTCGATCTCATCGAACGGGACGCAGCGATTGCTGAGCTTGTTTTCTTTGGTGCGGACCACTTTAAGAGGTACTGCGACTTTGGGCCACAGTGACCCTTCATGAATATGTATTCATTGTATGTTGGTTTTTGATCCCTCTTTTATGTTGCGGCTTAAAACGAGCTGGCCGTAACACTGATGCTCCTGCAGCTCTGCGTATGTGTTTCCAAACATAGTCAGGTTTGGGGATTTTAACAGTCTTTATAGTTGTATTAAAGAGACCCATAAGGCCCACTTCTGCTGACCTCGAACAGACTGTGATCTGTCTGACACGTTTGAGATTGAGACGCTGTCAGAGGAGAGAGACAAGCGACACACACACACACACACACACACACACACACTCACTCCAGCACAGCAGTCCATGTTCACAGAGATGCTCATCTAGATTGTGAGCATGAGTAAACAGGTCTACAAGAGCTCTGCTGTTCATTCCAATGAGCTCAAACTGGATGGAGACGCAGCTATACTGGATTCTTTTGGCCAAACGTTTACATGGCTTTACTATCTTCCCTCAAATAAAGGGTTTGACGTTGACTGGTGCTCTGTTATATGTTAAAGGTCCCATGACATGGGGTTATTTTATTATTTTATAATGTTTCCTGGGTTGCCCTTATAATGTTAGTATGTTTTTTAGATCAAAAATAGTCATAATTTAGAAATAAAGGCATTTTTCCTAGCCTGATTTTAGCGTCTGATTTGAACGCTCTGTTTGAAGGGGCGTGTCTGCTGTGGGATTCAGTGTATCCGCCCACTGCTGTGATTGGCTGTGGGATTCAGTGGAACCGCCCACTGCTGTGATTGGCTGTGGGATTCAGTGGAACCCCCCACTGCTGTGATTGGCTGTGGGATTCAGTGGAACCGCCCACTGCTGTGATTGGCTGTGGGATTCAGTGGAACCGCCCACTGCTGTGATTGGCTGTGGGATTCAGTGGAACCGCCCACTGCTGTGATTGGCTGACATGCTTGCATATGAAATAGCAACATATTACATGTGAAACTCTCTCGAGTTTACACCGATTGAAATTTCTCGCCACTGGGGGACCATATACAGGCTAGGGGAACTCATATTAATGTTAAAAAACCTCAGAAAGTGAAAATTTCATCTCATGGGACCTTTCATGACAGTAATTAGGCGGCATTTACAAGGCAGAGATCTGAAACAATTCAAATATATATTCAGATATTATTGCTTCCCATGACTTGTCCAGGCTTGGATATTACAGTTGTAAATTTTTTTTCTTTTTTCAGTTTTTCACTGATCAAAGGAACATTACAGACACAGATTCGGGTCATTTCTGATTCTTTGAGCTTTATATGCACAGAAGAGAAGATTCTGAACCCAGTTTTGAGTTCAAGGCTTTTCCCTTGGACAGTCACGCAAGAAAACATGTGGATGTAAAAAGCCTGTTTACCCTGAAGGAGAGAATTGTTAAAGAATAACATGACTGGAGTGACTTTACCACTAGGGCTGTGTATCACCAACAGTGTCACGATACGATACGCATCACGATACTAAAGCCACGATACGATACGTATCACGATATGGATCAATTTGGAATTTAAATTTCTTTTGAGCAGAGTTTAGTAGCAGTAATATCTTTATTGAATAAACAGTGTTATAACAGTTGTGATAACTGAAAAACTATTTCGTTTTTGTCATTAAAAAACAATGAGAGTTCAATTAAATAAGTGTTAGAATGTGCACCAAACAAAGTAATTTCTTTACATTACGTTGAAATCATTTTAAACAAATAAATACAATAGAATAAATATAGCCTACCAATAAAGAGACACGTTTTTGAATAGGTCTAGCAGTAGTATTCAGAAATACTACAGACACTTAAAGTAATTAAATGTAAAATAACATTGGGTAGTATTTTAGTCCTGACTAAATTAAATACATTGGCTATAAATCCAGATTCCTTATAATTAAAGCTATCTTTTGTTGTTTTGACGACAAAATTAATGACAGACACACATGGCTGCTGTCGCTTTAAGAGCTAGTGCACGGATCCTGTGTTCATTATACTGTCACATGCATTAACCGACTGTATTAGATACTCACCAAGATTGACATTTTTGACATCATTTTGCTTGTTTTTGTCCGTAAAAGCGATATAATCCGTGAAAAAGAACTTTTGTTACTCACAGGCTGTTTGTGAGGCGGCTTTACTCTATGTATGCATGCAGAGAAAACCATCTCTCAGAGAGCGTGCGAGCACTGAATAGTTTAAAATCGCTTGAATGTTTTGCGTGGTAAGACTTAAAAAGACGAGCGATTGGTAAACTTAAGTGACAATGCAATACTCGCCCGAATATGCAAGTGAATATTCCGTCATGTGACATGTCCCAACTCCCGAAAGCGAGAGTGTATCGCCGCCTTCAGCGCGTTTGACGCTTGCCTTGAGCAACCCATTTTGAGAGACAGAGACAGAAGACGCGGCACAGCTGAACACTCACGCTGTTTGTGAAATTGTGTCTCGAATATTTTAATTGTTGCTGTATCGATACGCGCATCGTCAGGAGTTCATGACGATGTATCGTCGTATCGATATTCTGAGCACAGCCCTATTTACCACCATTAAAAAAGTAAAGCCTGCACAATCACCAGCTCTTTGAGAATGCAAACACAAGTGAACGAACACATGCATCAGTGACCAAAGCCAGTTAAAGAAGCACGGCTTGTTATTTATGAGCTTTCTTTGTCTCTGCATCGCCGTCTTAAGCATCTGAAACCAACACTTGCAGTGATAGGCACTCGCTGGAGTAATAACTCACATTAATTAAAGATCCCGGCAGCGCAGACACACACTGCCATTAACATATTAACTAATCAAATCGATCGGTATATCCGGGAGAAGCTGTCCGTGTGATTTACAGGTTTCAGTGGTTTATTCGTCATCAGGTAAGCCAGCATTTGCCTGGACACGAGGATGAAGAGAACTAGAGCCGGGTTCTAGACCGCGGATCGAGTCTCCGGCCTTCAGGAATTAAACAGGAGCTTGTGTTGTGATGATCCAGTCGGGAATGCTCAGTGAATCCGGCCTGATCCTTCTGCATAATAAACACCAGCCCTTTAATTGGGCTCGTTTGCTGATGTATTCTGAGTCTAGCGCAGATCTGATAGATGAACTATGTAGATTTTGTTTGCCGAAATGTTTTCCCTTTTTAATGAATATGTGCATGTCAAGAGAGTGTGACGATCTGAAGCTCATCTGAAAGAAACGCTTCACCAGCAAACTCGCCTCACTCATCTGTATTTTGAATGAAAATATATGGAGATTGAAGCTACTTTCCATGAATAGGGTCTGAAATTCTCTCAAAATTAAGGACTTTTGTCTCAAGCTTTGCCCGTTTTGTTCCAAAAATCCAAATGTTCCCGCAAATCATCAGCGTATTACATAGAACATGGAAAATACTATAAATCACAATAAAAAATAAAACCATTATTACAATACTAAATACATAATAAAAAAAGACATAATATTCAAACTGACTGTAAGTTACTTATTCCCGA